CATTTTCACTCTTCAAGATCACAATAGTCTTTGACCCCCCCAGGATGAAGGTTGAAGAATTGCAATGTCTTCCCCTAAGTTGTCAGTGGGAAAAGACTGGGTGCCAAAATAAAAGTTCTAGGGATATATTTCAATTTGAATTTTCCCGGGTCATTTCTCGAGAATAAACTAATTATGCAAATGAGAAAATATATACTTAAAATTGCTTAATGCGGAACTTCTCCTACCTTTTCGATCGATTCGAGGACAAATCTTTGAAATAAGAAAGGTACAAGCGGAAAGTTGGAATGGAGTTTCCCTCTCAATACCTCGTTCTGGCTGTAAACTAAAGCTTAAAAAAAAGTTTTAAAAATCTAAAGGCGGTCTAGTTGAAGGCCCATATTCAGTTAACTCGCAGAATAGGTATGTGCATATATCTACCTCAAGTCTACGTGACACAATGTAGATTTTAATTAGGTGTTAATGCGGATTTTTTAAATACCGAGCTTCGTTTGTGAACGGAACCCAATTGAAAGAGTTCAATTGACGTTTCAATAAACTCGATAAATGTTTTCTGCCTCAAAAAAATCATAGTAAATGTTATCCTTCTTCTACATTTGTGCATATTGTCAAGCACTTTTCCTCCTGGCTGAAAATTTTCGTGATTTTTGAACAAATTATCAGTGCATTGATTCCATGGATGAAATTTTCACTTCTTTTCTTTACTGTTTATTTATTCCATACGGAAGCTCATTATTCGCCCTATTTTTCCTGTCGATACCTGTGATTACCAAGGACAGAGATGAAAATAACTCCCAGCCATATAAACAGTCAAGAATTTTCACCTCATTTACAATCTAATGGATTGGAGTCCGTGTAACTGATCTGGAAACTATTCGACAGGTGACAGATGAGTTTAACCTTTTCAGAGTAATCTCACTGAATTCAGCTTCCAAAAGTGTACAGTATAACCTAAGAGCACTCGCGCGTGAAGTTAGGACAAGTTACTCTCAATACGTGAAACGCCGGGAAACAAACGCTTAACTCTTAGCTCTTTCATTCTCCTATCCACCTCGCCGGGCTTAACTCATCATTTACCGAAAAAAAGGTATAAGAAGTTATATAACCATTTAAAATCTTGTGTAAGTCGAAATGCCGCTTTAGTCGAAGCAGGTCCGACGATCGGCTGGAATAGGGAAATAAACGATGTCGGACTGAGTCCGACGATGGAGGGCAGAAGGTGAAACAACTCGACGCTTTTCTTGTCGGAAAGGCAGTCCATGTGCTTCTGAGTTTTCAGAATCTCGGTGAGCCCAGTTAATTCCATCTTCTCTTTCGCCGTCGTTCACTTCAACTCTCTTTTATGTAGGGCTCAGAATCGCCTTTAATTCGTCTCGCGAAAATTGTAAAAATTACCATACGAAAGAGGATTTGATAGTATTCGATACTTTGCGTTGAATCGTCAACGTCTTCGATGGCTGTGCATTTAACAACACCTCGTGTCTAATGCAGCTGTGGACAAACTACGGCCGGCGGCAGCATCCCAAGGGTTAGAAGGTTTTCCCACCCCTGGTCTAATGCCTGAAGAATGGCAAATATCAATCGCACATTAAATGCCAGAATGCGCTTCCTTCCTTGAAATATGCGCATTAAATAAGCTCCTGCAGAAAAAAAAATATTTTGTGGAAATGCGTTTCGAGCACTTTCTTTCATATGTATTTTATGCCTATTATTATGAAGCCTTTTGTTGCATATTTCAGGACAGTTTTATGCAAAAAATCCGGCCTCTATAATGACGTCTTCTGTCGCCGATAGATTGGCAATATTAAGTGAATGGGAGCACATGCAGGCATTGAGGTTTATGCCGACGGAGCAATTCGGATCGATTTGGAGCGGAGGCTGGACCGGATTATTGGCTGCTTCAGCTTCTTTCATACAGCTTATCAGGAATCGCCAGAAAGCCCCACTCTCCTGCACAAAGCCACGACAAAAGACCGTTTCCCATCTTCCATGAATATTTCCATGCGAAGACAACCACGAAGGATTGAAAATGAAACCGACTATTCAGAGAGGGGTATGAAAGTACTCCACTGTCGAGCCAGACCAATGAAACTAGAATTAGAGTGAGATGGAGTAAAAGCAGCAATTAGATAATGGAGATACTGCTTCTTCATTCAGTTCGTACATGAGATAGTTTTCTCATTTTCAATATACTCGTATGCCACTCTAAGCGAGGATGGCGCTATAAAGTGTGGCGGTATAACGAGGGTTCACTGTACACCGGTAGAAAAAAAGAAAGTCCAACTCATTACTCTTCTACCATAATTTTGTTTTTCATTCTAACTAAAGATATTAACGGTTCGAAAATGTTCACTTTTGATGCTTTATATGCACTAAAAAATCAGATTATATCAAATCATCTGTTGAGTGCCGTGTTATGGAAAATTAGGCAATTGAGGAATGATAACTTCCTCTCCTGGGATAAAGGTAGCCTTGCACATGGAATATTTTTCATGTTTACCGCTTTTACAAGTCTTTTTATGGGTCAAATGTATTTTTAAAAACGTTTGCACAACTAAGTTGTTTGTTAATGAGTGAAGTCCTCAAGAACTGCATCCTTGCAGTATTGGAAACTCCAAGAGACCATAATAGATATCACGAAAAAGGTCACAATTCGACTTGGTACACTGGGCAGTCGTGTAGGCCCAAGGACTTTGATATCGATGACTTTGCCTAAGTCATGATTTACTCGAAAAGTTTACTAGGCTTAGACACGTTTCCTGCATGCCTCCTGAGAGACTCCCAAAAAGTCTTCTAATCCAGTCGATAGGCCTCGTGCAAGGCAGGCGGATTTGAACGCAAAGCCTTGCCACTCGAGTCTCCGTATTCCACTTGTCGAGTTTGAATCCGTTGCACAGGATTGCGAAACACTGGAAGATGCTCCTGGACCTGCTCGAGCCGCATTCCCATTAAGCTGGGATAGGCGGCTTCAAAAATGTATGTATGTATGACATTTTTCTAGGTTCTTTTTTATTTTCTCGGATTTTCATCAGACAAGTTAATTGCTTTCTATTAGCCATGGTTTTAGTCTAACCATAATCAACGTCTCAAGTTACCTTTGTTCCTGAGGATTTTTCTGAGGTCAGAGTTCACATAGGACGATGCACGAGACCACTTCTCCGAAAAAGTGGACTCTTCGACCTTGGAGTTCTTGGGTGGCGTTGTCATGGAGGCAAAGATTTTTGCATGGAGAAAGTACTCCTCTACTACGGTATTATTACTTTCTTGGGATCCGAAAGGAAGTTCAGAAATATTCTTTATTTGCGCGGCATATTTATCACTGTCGTCAAAGTGCTCAACCACCATTAACCTGCAAATGAAAAAAAAAGGAGGGAAGAATTAGTGGAGTTCTTAGGAGAAACTGAGCCAGGATCAGTGGAAAAGTGAATAAAATTAATTTTTTTTTGTCGGTGGCTCCAGTTTGGTTCTGTCCAAAATGAACTGACTCAGAAAAATCTTCCACCTTTCAACTACCATCCTTCATTTCAACTTTGCAGCTTTTGTTGTTGAGCCCTATAATTTTTTTTGTAAGAAACATTGTGTCCACCCTGAACTGATGAGGACTTGAATGAGCCTTGAATTAGCTAATAATTTATGCAAAGATTCATAAGTACAGGTTAAGGTTATTGCTGTGTACCCCTACGCTAAAAAGTAAAGGTTCTAGAGTGAAACTTTTATAGAACTATTTTCTCAGAGGGGATGAAACTGATCCCTGGAGCTACCACGATCTCAGGGCGTTGACAAAGGCAGAACATGAACGCTGCGACCTAGGATATTCACGAGATCACTCCAACCAGTAACCATTATGCAAATTTAGTGGAAAATGACTCTACTCTCTAAAATTAAAGATTCGAATCGGAACCATTTTTGGTGAAACTTTTAAAGAACCATTTTCGCGAAACCAAGCCTACACGAACTGAAACTGACTGACATCTGGAATCACCAGGATCTGAGGGCTTTTACATCGCAGATGATAAATGCTATGATCTGAAACATTCACATGATCACTCCCATGAGTAACTATTAAGCAAAGATCGTGAAAAATGGTTTTTGAAGTGAGCATTGCACCAGAAACCATTGCAAATGGTTTCTGGATCGTTGAAAACGGCTCTGAAAGTGTGCAAGCATCTGAGGGTTCTAGTCCGAACCATTATTTCTTATAGTGGCAGCAAAGTTTTTTTTTTTAACACTTCATAGATTGCGATATTGGCTCTTTCATCGAGGACAATATGCAAATAATACGTTTTTCCAAAAATATCTCTTCAGCGCATCGGACAATTTCCATTGAAAGTATTATCTGCATGGAGGCACCTATTCAGGAAATTATGTTGACTCCATGCTCTTCATCTGCATAGGTCCACTTGATGAGATTTTTCCCAGGTGCATGGTGTCTGCCAGGTCCATCAAGTATGGGCAAACATTGTGTCTTGTCACCATATAATAGTTTCATATTCCCTCTGTCAACCCTTCGGCTCTCCAATGTCTCCTGATTCCCTCATATCAATCTATTGCGCATACGGACTTTCCGGATGTGTACTTGACTTGGAACTTACGCGTGATGATAGGGTGTCAAAATCTACAAAATAACTTAATTCGTTACAAGGATCATGACCGGTTGCGCGTCGAGCATTGAAATATTTTCCTTCATTTGATATAATGTGGCTCCGAGAAAGAGTGGAGGGAGTCGAGATTGATGACATCGCAAGGAGCAGACGCCCGAAAAAAAACCTCTCTCGTCGACCTTTCTCGCCTCTCTTTCGAGGAATGAGGATAGTGGGGGAAAAAAATTGATGAGGAAAGAGGAAAGGCTGATGAAAAACTAGATCAGATCAGAGAACGTCCGTCTGACCAGTCCCATTGTGCAGATCATTCGAACTGAGACCATACTAATCTTCCCTGTCTGCCCGATGACATTTTTTAATCTGAAGATTTGCGCCTTTTCCCATCGTTTTCAGGGGATGATGATTGGATTGAACCTGTGCCTGGTGTTGATCGTCGTTGTTCCACATCGAGGGGGATCCTGTACAGACCCAGGCTCAATCGAAAGGCGATTCGATTCCATGGGACTCCCCTTATACGACATGATGGAGATGGAGGAAAATCATCCCCAAGCCAGACCCGTTTGGAATTCCTATAGCTTTGGACTCGGGAAGCGATCCCCCATGTACTCCTTTGGACTAGGGAAGAAATGGGATCACGATGACGTTCCGAGCGACAAGAGGAGTCGATACAACTTCGATCTGGGCAAGAAGTTTGGGGTGATGCAGTACTCTATCGTTCCCGTCGAGAGATCTGGGGATTTTTCTTTCGGTCTGGGGAGGAAAAGATCCTCGTATTCCTTTGGACTGGGCCGGAGAAATGGATCTCCTGGCTACGATTTCGGACTCGGAAAACGAGATGACAAAAGGGCTAGACAAGATTTCTCCTTTGGCCTGGGTAAGCGACCAACGGATCCCGAAACAGAATCCCGTCGTTAATATGTTTCTCTTTTTTTTTCAACAAAAAATGTTTCGGCGCCGAACTTTGCTTGACTTGAGTTTGCGTCTAGTATCCTTTTGGTAATGTTTAAGACTCATCCTAAGAGCCTCCTTCTCAATAAACGGACCGAAAGGAGGAAAGCATTTATTAAGGATGTTGTTTTCATTACTTACGTTTACGTATTAAAAATTGATGCTAATCAGTGGCTGGACTGCAATCAACGACTCGTGAATTGTGCAAATCTGAATTGTGTCCTAATGTTATCGGATCTTCTTGAAAAAATAAAATACGATACCGTCGTACTTTCCAAAAACCCCTGAAAAACGAGTTTCACTCTTGAGTACCCAGTCGTCTGCAAGAGAATTCTGGGAGGGTTAATGATTACTGCTATTGACACTATGGAGTAACACGAAGACCATCATTTGGTGACATTTCCGCCGTCTTTCATGGAAAGAGAATAGGGCAGGGGTCCCCTATGTGTCACTCACGAGGCAATTCGGGGAAAGATATGAAGATGAGAGAAAAAAAACAGCAGCGTATACAGAGGGGTGAGTACTTACTGTATCATTCCAACAAAACATACTCCATAAAATGAATGTGCTGGATGTTGTTTAAAAAATGAAATATCTCCTTCAAACGCCGTACGAGTCCCATTCTTTTCTAAGTCTCACATATCAGATGAATGGGGAAGAATTCTGCCAGGTTTTTAGGAAATTTCAGTCCCTGCTTCTAATGCAAAACACCTTTTCAGGGCTACATTATGAATAATCTTATTGGACCACTTTTAAGGGGATCCTTGCCAGGGTTTTCACTTTATCTTCGCTCCGACAAGGCTGAGCACAGACGGCAGTGGGGGGAGGGCTCAGAATTGTAATTGGTCTTTCCTCGTATGTGTATGTACGATTGCTTCGCATTTTTTAATATGGAAGGGTGCCAATTTATTCTCTCAATCCGTCAATAGAGACCTTCTCGGGCCCCATTTCAAGCTACTCCATCTGATTTGAGACGCTCGATCGAGTTGTTCAGAATAAAGTAATCCAAGCATCCAATCAATCCCATTTCATTTCCTCCTCTGATGGCTATCATTTCTAGATTGGGTCACTCATTCACATGACTATACATTGCCATCCCGCCCATCGAACCCACAAATTTTCCCATATTCGAGCATCGATTGGTGATCGAGTTTTTGTCAAAGAAAGGTTTGTCGCTCCAGAATATTTATATGCGACTGCCAAACGTTTATAAGGATCATTCACGACACAGTAAAGAATTGAGCAGCTGAATTCCTTCAAGGACGGGATTCGATCGAAGATGATCTTCGCCCGGGTCGACCTTGGGAAATGGCCACAGAGGAAACGTAGATCGCCGTAGAAAAGCTGGTAATGGATGACAGACGAATAAAAACGAGGGAAATAGGACAGGTGTTGGTTATCTCAAAGGGCAATGCTCAAAACTTTTAGGACGAAAAGCTGGGACTGTGGGAAGTCTGTGGCTTCTGAGTTCCCTGGATGTTGTTCGTAATTCAACGTGGCGACAGAATCATAATGAACAGTGCCGTAACAAGGGGTGTGCGAGCGGTGCCCCGCACAGGGCGCCGAACTGAGGGGGCGCGGATTGGCCGCCGGATTATTACAAAATATGAATAAAACTTTAAAAAAATTGCAAATTCCCCTGAATTCAACGAGATCAAACAGAAATTAATACGTAATGTATTGTTGGTGCTGTGGAAGCTGGAGAGGTATAGAGGTTGATATCTCGCCCGGAAGGGGGGGGGGGGGGGGGGGGGGGGGGCGGGGGG